TATTATTGTTATTGTCTTTAATGAAATTATTAATTGCTTCCATGATTTGTTCCTTAATCCACTTATTCTTTAAGATTAAGTTATTTAGTGGCTAATTAGTTTTTAATCTGTGTTTCCATGGTCCCTTATTGAATAAGATTTTTATTACATTGTAATCTGAAAAGGATGCATTTAATATTTCTGCTTTTCTGCATTCAGTTATAAAGTTTTTATGCACTAATTTGTGGTCAGTTTTTGTACTTCTGAGAAAAAGGTGTATTCCTTTCTATTCCCATTCAATTCTCTCCAGATGTCTATCACATCTAGTTTATCTAGGATTCTATTCAACTCCTTAACTTCTTTCTTATTTATTTTTTGGCTACATTTATCTAATTCTGAGAGAGGAAAGTTAAAGTTCCCTACTATTATACTATTATTATCTATTTCCACCTGTAATTAATTTAACTTTCCCTTTAAAAATTTAGATGCTATAGCATTTGGTGCATATAGGTTTATTATTGATATTGCTTCATTTTCCATAGTATCTTTTATCATAATGTAGTTTCCCTGTTTATCTCTTTTAAGTAAGTCTATTTTAGCTTTAACTTTGTCTTAGTTCATGATTGCTACCCTTGCTTTTTTTTGTATCAGCTGAAAAATAATAAATTTTACTCCAGTCCTTTATTTTAACTCTGTGTGTTTCTCTCATTTTAAAACATATTTCTCGTAAGCGACATATTGTTGGATTCTGACTTTTAATCTATTCTGCTATCCGTTTTCCAAATGGGTGAGTTCATCCCATTCACATTCAAAGTTATTATTACTAGTTGTGTATTTCCCTTCATCCTGTTTACCCTCTCTATTATCCTTCTCACCCTCTCTTTTTGCCCTATCCCTCCTTATAATCTAATTTACTTCTAACTACTACCTCTCCAATCCCCATCCCTTGTAAGAATCCCTCCCTTATCCTCTCCCCTTACTCTCCTATTCATTAATTTACCCACCCTTCTAAGAGTCCCTCCGTTATCCTCTCTCCTTACCCTGCTATTTCTCTGTAAGTCAAGAAGACTGATACCCTTCTAGATGTGTATGTTATTCCTGCTGTAATCCAGTTCTGATGAGAATAAAGTTCTGGCACTACCACTCCTCACCTGCCTCCACAGTAACAGTTCTCCCATTCGTGCCTCACTTGTATATGATAGTTGCTCCATTTTACTTCTTCTTACCCAATTTTATATTTTAGGATCATCCCATCATACTCAACTCAACCCCAAGCCTTCTGTCTATGTATGCTATTTCAAACTACCCAAAAAATAACATTCTTAAGAGTTATAGATAACATTTCCTCATATAAGAAATAAACAGTGTGATCTTATTAAATCTCTTATTGTTGGTCATTATTGTTTACTTTATGTTTCTCTTGATATTTATAGGTCAGTTTTCCCGTTCATTCTGGTCTTTTCTTCCCAAATACCCCAGAGTCCTTTAATTCACTAAATATCCATTTTTTTTCCAAATGGGATTAGATTCAGTATTGCTGGGTAAGTTACTCATGGTTGCAAACAGCAGCTTTACTCTTCAGGATATAATGTGTGAGTCCTTTCAGTCTTTTAGTGTAGAAGCTGCTAGATCTTATATTATCATGACTCCCCTGTATTTAAATGATTTTTTTCTAGTTGCATGTAGTATTTTCTTCTTGACCTGGTAGCTTTGGACCTTAACTATAATGTTCCTGTGAGTTTTCATTCTTGGGATCACTTTCAGGTGGTAGTTGGTGGATTTTTTCAATTTCTGTTTTGCCCTCTAGTTCTAAAACTGCAGGGCAATTTTCTTAATAATTTTTTTTTTTTTGCGAGGCACTTGGGGTTAAGTGACTTGCCCAAGGTCACACAGCTAGTAAGTGTCAAGTGTCTGGTCTGAGATTGGATTTGAACCCAGGTCCTCCTGACTCCAGGGCCACTGCTCTATCCACCGCTCCACTTAACTGCCCCGATAATTTCTTGAAATATAGTTTCTAATCTCTTTTTTTTTTATCATAACTTTCAGGTAGTACAGCAATTCTTATTGTGTCTCTCCTCATTCTGTTTTCCAGGTCAGTTGTTTTTCTAAGATGTTTTACGTTCTTCTTTATTTTTTCATTCTTTTGATTTTGTTTTATTATTTCTTAGTGTCTTGTGAAATCATTAGCTTCCCCTTGCCCAATTCTAAATTTTAAGGAATTGTTTTCTTCTGTAAGTTTTTGGATCTCTTTTTCCAATTAGTTGACTTTCTTTTCACAATTTTCTTGATTTTCTTGCATTACTCTTATTTTTTCCTAATTTTTTCTCAACCTTTCTTATTTGATTTTCTTTTCTTGTTTTTTTTCCCTCAAGGCAATCAGGGTTAAGTGACTTGCTTAGAGTCACACAGCTAGTAAGTGTCAAGTACCTGAGGCCAGATTTAAACTCAGCTCCTGCTGACTCCAGGATTAATGTTTGATCCACTGTGACACCTAGGTGCCCTTCTTATCTGATTTCCAAAGCCCGTTTTAAGTTTTTCCAAGAATTCTTTTTGGGCTTGTGACCATTTTACCTTTTTTTTTGAAATAGAGGTAGTCTTAATTTTATCATTTTCTTCTGAGTTTGAATTCATGTCTTCTCAATCACTGTAATAGCTATCTATGGTCATGTCCTTTCTCATTTACTTACTCTTTTTTTTTGGGAGGGGATGGCTAGGCAATGGGGTTAAGTGACTTGCCCAGGGTCACACAGCTAGTGGGTGTTATGTGTCTGAGGCTGGATTTGAACTCAGTTCCTCCTGAATCCAGGGCCGGTGTTCTCTCTACTATGCCACCTAGCTGCCCCTTACTCATTTTAAGGGCTTATTTTTTGTCTGTCAATTTTGTGTTAGAATCTGGCTCTCTTCTCAAGGTATAGGGGATTTAGGTTTTACACGCTATTGTTTTCTGAGCTCTATCCAGGGTCCTGACCTCAGGTACTCCTCTGCTCCTGAGCATGACTAGGGCACCCAGCGACACTATCACTACAAATGCTCTTATTTTCTTCCATTGCTGTCCTTCCTGCTGCTGCAAGCTTTAGCTTACTCCTCTGCCCTGGAACTAAAACCAGAGACTTCATTCTCCTGTGAGTCCCACAGCCAGCAGGGTCCCTATCCCTCTGTGGACCAGACCACACACACACAGGTGTGTGCTCACTCTTCTTCACCCACAGCCTGGGATTGCTCAGTGCACTGGGGTCCTGTATCTAGTGCTAGTAGAGGGCCCTGCAATATTCCTTTGATCAGCTGTTTGACACCACCCCCTTCCCCCCGGCAGTGAGACAAAAGTTCCTGAAGCTGAGGCTGGCTTGACACAGCTGCCCCAGGGGTTGTCATTTGTTGATTCAGCATTATCTGCCCACTACAGTTGGGCTAGACCATCACCCCTTGAAGTCAGGTCTTTCCTAATGTCCTCCCAAATTATCACAGGCTGACAACTGCTTTACCCAACTTTTAATTATTTAAGCTGCTCAAAATTCACTTTGTGGTGTTATTTTAAATTGTTTGTGGGGATATTTGGGAGAGCCAGGTAGTTTCATGCCTTATTCTCCCATCTTCCCAGAATCCTTTCCATCACTTGTGTCACTTAACTTCTCAATATCTCTCTTCACTGTTCATCAAATGAGTGGTTTTAACTAGATGACCTATAAAGTTCCTTTTATAACTCTTTATCTTATGACAACATTGTAGTTGCTACATTAAGATCAAGTATATCACAAGTACAACACCAAGAACTGTGTTCCTTATTTAGAAAGTTCAACTTCACATGATAGTTGGTAGATGAAACCAATAATGTAAAAGAACGGAGGTGGAACCAAGATGGTGACATAGTAGGAATAAGTATAGTCAAACTTTCCTCCACAATATCTTCTATGCAGATGTAGAAAATACACCCAAAAGATTTCAGTTGGGAAATCTAAGGAAAAAAATAACAGTAGCTCTTTTTTTTTTTTTGCTTTTGGGTGAGGTAGTCGGGGTTAAGTGACTTGCCCAAGGTCACACAGCTAGTGAGTGTAATGTGTCTGAGTCCAGATTTGAACTCAGATCCTCCTGACTTCAAGGCTCTCGCTCTATCCACTGCACCACCTAGCTGCCCCTAGTGATTCTTCTAGTTCAAGTTGGGATACAGTGGGGATAGAGAGCTCTGCAGACATTGAGAACAGAGTCTGGACAGGAATGATCACATGAAGCATTTCAGGCTATGCAGCTGGGTAAGAAGAGATCCCAGATCCAACAGACATCATAACAACATGTTATGCCTGATACAGGAATGGATGCACTATCCAGTTCTCTGTCACAAGCCCACAGCCAACTGGAGAAGAAACCTGTGCTCAGAGGTGGCATTCTAATGTTAAGGACTGGTCAGGAACGGTACCTAGGCTATATGCTGAGAAAGGAGCAAGTTCAGAAGCAAGCAGCACCAGTGTGTTCTCAGTTCCAGCCTCTAGCCTCATCTGAAGCCTGCAGACTAATAAATAGGGAAGGAATTTCAGATCAAAGGGAAGCCTGTAGTTTTGTAAATCCAAACTAGTAGAGCTTTCCAGATGGCTGTTAGTGGATGAGTGAACTTCCCACAATGTTGATTCAGAGTTTTGGTAAATTTTTTATTTGCCTTTGGTGTGTCCTTTGGGTTGAATCACAAAATTGTAAAATATTGTAACAAACAAACCCAGTTGTTAGATGAATCTGAGAAGCTATGTTATCAAGCGATGAAACACAAGCAGCAGCAAAATGTGTTTTTACACTAAAAGTGTCGAACTATAATGTGCTTTTACTGGGACTGTGTCCTAATTATTTCTTATGTAAACACAATACCTTGCAGTTACCTTTGATTTAAAAAAATTATTCTCATATTATTGTTCATTTAGTATTTAAAATCTGTCATGAAATTTGTAGCCCCACTAAGTTAATACACTGATTAAGCAGTTTGATTTGATATTTACATTGCTAACTTTTTTTCTGTTTATTTGGGTTTTTTTTTTTAGGCCCTACATGTCTCTTGGAACTCTACGGGATCAAGTTATTTACCCTGACTCTGTAGATGATATGCATGAAAAAGGATATAATGACCAGGACCTGGAAAGCATTCTCCACAATGTCCATCTCTATCACATTGTTCAGAGAGAAGGAGGTAAATATTTTTTCTCACTGGCAGATTACATTACTGTCATCCTTGCAATATCCTCATACGGTGAAAATTTCAGGTACTGTTGTCCTTTTTTTTTTTTTTAGAGAAAATTGTACCCTTGACACATTAGGGAAAGTAGGCTATGTCAAGTATTTGACAGGTTTTCTTCTTTGCTCCAGTCCCTGATGAACAGGTGAGCCTTCTACTCACCAGAGTCAGAATAAGAGATTTACAGAAAGAATGGACTTTAGAAGCTGTACTCTTGATCTCATCTCCTGTCTCTTTCAGTAGATGCTTCCTCTGCCTCAAATCATCCTTGAGATGAGGCTAGAGGCTGGAACTGAGAACATACTGGTGCTGCTTGCTTCTAAACTTGCTCCTTTCTCAGCATATAGCCCAGGTACCATTCCTGACCAGTCCTTAACATTAGAATGCCACCTCTGAATCTATTAGCCTCTTCCCGTATTGTGAAAAAACACTACCAGGTATCTCACATTCCTAAAAACAACAAAAAACACTTTAATCTGAACCTGTTGTCCCCTCAAACTATCATATATCTCTCTTCCCTTTAAAGGCCATAATCCTAGAAAAAATTGTCTATATTCATTGTCCCCATTTACTTCATCACTCATTTCTCAGTCCCTTGCAATCTGGCTTCTGACTTCATCACTTAATTCCAGTTGCTCTCTTCAGGGTCACCGAAGATCTCTTTATTGCTGAATCCTAGAGCCTTTTCTCAGTCCTCACCCTTGTTGACCTCTCTGTAGCATATGGCACGGTAAGCCATCCTTTCTTCCTGGATGCTCTCTCTTCCCTGAGTTCTCACTGCTCTCTCCTGACTTTCTCTCCACTTGTCTGCTATTTCTTCTTAGTCTCCTTTGCTGAATCACCATACATGAGGTATTCTTAAGTATGGGTGTACCCAAAGCTCTCTCCTAGACCCTCTTTTCTTCTCTTTCTACACTGGCTTTTGGTGATCCCATAGGTTAAGTTAAAATCTTTATGAAAATGACTCATTTATATGTTATATAAATATATTATGTATTAGTATATTTATGTACTAGATATAATTTATTTATAATGTATAATTTATGATATATATTATATTAGTATACTTACATATGGAGGCAGCTAGGTTATAGGGTATACTGGACCTGGAGCTAGGAAGACCTGATTTCAAATCTGGCTTTAGATATTTACTAGGCATGTAATCCCGATCAATTTGTTTAACCTTTCTCAGCCACAATTCCACCTGTCTCCTAAGATTGTTGTGAAGATAAAATAATATTTGTAAAGTGCTCTGCAAACCTTGAGGAGCTGTGTAAATATTATCATTATTATCAACATCTTTATTAATTATTCTTATTATGCCATATCTGTCCTGAGCTCCATTTCCATGCAGCCAACTGGTTATTGGATGTTTTGAATTGGGTATCCCATAAACATCTCAAAATTTCAGAATGTCTCAAACAAATATTTTTCTCTACACCCATCCCTTTTTTGGACTTCCCTGGTCACCTCAAGGATATTCTCATTCTTCACTCTCAAACATCCCTCCCATCCAATCAATTGTCACATGTTCTGGATTCTACCTCTACAACGTTTCCCAAATTGGTCCCCTTCTCGCCATTCACATGGAAACGAACTTAGTCCAAGCCTTCATCACCTCTTGCATTAACTGTGGATATAGCCTCCTTGCATCCAGCTTCTCACTTCTCCAATCTATCCTCCACACAGCTAGAAAATTAATTTTCCTAAAGTGGTTTTGATCCATATCACTCCCCTATTTTAAAACTTCCAATGGGTCTCTATTGCCTCTAGGATCCTTCCTACTTTTCCAGATGTGTTACATACACATCACTTCCCTTTGTGTAATATGCATTTCAACCAAATGGGCTTTTTTATTGTCCCTTTTGCACAATGTCACATTTCTGATCTTTATATTTTTCCATAGACTCCATCCCTCTACCTATTCAAAACTTTCGTGGCATGAATTCTCTTCTCTCAGAAGTCATAGCCTTCAAAGTTCTATAAGGAGTCTTTACCCTCCAGTGCATCTAGTGTTTTCTTTGCTCTGTTCCCCGGAATTAATTTTATTTGCTTTGTCATAAACACACACACACAGACACACACTAATGTGGTGGAGATGGCTTGTGCTTATTGGCTTATGAGAGTCAATTCTTTATAAGTTGGCAAGCATTACAAATCAGGGCTTGATATATTGTTTTGTTGATTGTCCAGGCTTAAAAAGAGTGATACAGAAAATGATAGCAGTGTAAACTGAACTTGAAACTTGTGGTGTTTAAAGTGTGTTGCATTTTTTTTCTCACACAAGGTTGTTAAGTATTTACCGGCATACGCTCTTTCTTCCATCTTGTACTCTCACTCAGAGGGTGAGATTCCCAGAGGGTAGCTACTACTACTACTATTATATTCTCAATATCGTAAGGGTAATCCTGAAGGACTAGGTTTCTACTATTCATTCACAAGCTCCCACTAATGTACTCTGCTTTAATAATCAGCTAGACCTAATTATCTTTTGAACACAAATGTTTGCTAAGATTGTATATCAAGAAGATTAAATACAAAAAAAAATCCCCCCAGAAGTCTGGAGGAGCATGTTCACACAAATGTATATAGGGGATAGGAAGAGAATGGATACAAATATAAAGTACCAGGAAACTGAGATACATGTGCAGAGAACAAATGTCTCTGCAAAGGATAGGTTAAAACTCCTAGTTAACTGGAAGTTCTTTTCTCCCTGTAGTCCTCATACAAATCCTGAAATATAACTCTCTCTTAGTTTCTGAGAGTCAGTGACTTTGTAGAGTCTATAGCCTACACTTTTCTCTGCCATAAGGGGATACATTCCCTGAATCTGTCTTCCACTGCTATCCTCTGGAGTGTATGCACAGTCTGTGACTGGTCTAATCTCTCTGATGACTAGGTCATTGTTGTGGGGAAGGAGAGGGAGGAGGAATGGAGAGAGAGAGAGAAGAGAGAGAGAGAGAGAGAGAGAGAGAGAAGAGAGAGAGAGAGAGAGAGAGAATAGTATGCCTATTTCCCACATCCCCTTGAGCATTTGTTATTTTCCTTTCCTTTCTGTCATCTTAGGCAGTGTTATCAGTGGGAGATAGTATCATAGAGTTTTAATTCGCATATCTCTAATTGTTAGTGATTTAGAGTATTTTTTCATATGATTATTGATACCTTTGTGGCATTTAAAAGTTTGAGAGATAATTTCTGGGCAAATTAATCATTTTATTAATAATGCTCTTCTCCTCTTCCCCTCTTCTATCACCTTACCCCAGTAATTTCCTCTAAAGGGTTTATTTTAACTCTCAAACTGGAATTCTCTGAATGGGAACTCTTCTACCTCTAGACTAGGTTGGTTCTTTTTTTTTAAATTAAATTTTTTTTTTAAGTTCAGCTCCAAATTCTCTTCCTATTTATACCCCTTCTTTACCGCTGAGAGGGTAATACCCATGATACTTATTAGACATATTAAGTCATGCAAGATATATTTCTGCATTAGTCTTGGTCAGGGGGAAACTAAAGAAACTAAAATAAAGGAAAAAATATGCTTCAATCCAAACTCTGAGTCCCTCAATTATCTATCTGAAGGTGGATAGCATTTTTCATCATGAATCCTTTGGAGTTGTGGTAGATCATTATATTGATCAGAGTTACTAAGTCTTCCACAGATGATTATCGCTAAAATATTTCTGTTACTGTGTACAATATTCTCCTGTTTCTGCTCTCTTCCCTTTGGCTCAGTTCACAAAAGCCTTCCCAGTTTTTTTTTTCTGAAACCACCCCCTTTATCATTTCCTATAGCACAGTAGTAGTCCATCGTATTCATATATCGTAACTTGTTCAGCATTTCCCCAGTAGATGGACATCCCCTCAGTTTCCAATTCTTTGCCACCACAAAAAGGGCTGCCATAAATGTTTTTCCTTTTCCTTTTTCTTTGGTATTTTGAGAGATAGATCTAATTGTGGTGTTGAAACAAGTTGGACTGGTTCATAGCTCCATCAACAGTACATTAGTGTGCCTATTTCCCACATTCCCTTCAGCATTTATTATTTTCCTTTTCTGTTATCTTAGGCAATTTGATCAATGGGAGGTAGTATCACAGAGTTTTAATTCACATATTCTGTTAGTGATTTAGAGCTTTTTTTCATGTGATTATTGATAGCTTTGTGGCATTTAAAAGTTGAGAGATAATTTCTGTATAATTTAATCATTTTATTAATAATGCTAGCATTTTTAATAAAAGGTCAGTGACACTCTCAAATGCCAAAGACCCTCATGGCAGTGGGCTCATGGCTTATATGTCCTTGGAAAAGGAGTGTTCCTGAGAGTGGCAATCAACTCTGATTGATTAACAATTAAGGAGAGGTGGCCTTTACAAAGAGAAGTGAGCTCATTCCAATGAGGGGCTGAAAGTGACATCATGCCACTCTTGGACAGAGAAACTATCTCTGTACCCATATATACTCTATGCCCAGCCTTGGGCAATCTAAAAGAGAATCTATATCCCCCACCCAAGCCTGAACTAGTTGGGTGAAATCACAATACCCAGAATGAGGAGAATGTTAATCCTATCTTCCATTAGCCCTGTCCTTGAGAGATTGGACAAGGAAATAGGACAGGGGAAAAAAGGCTGGGGTCTCCCCAGTTTTAATAATTGGCTATTAATTTAAGAGAAAAATAATCATTTCTCTCAGCTTTAATGTCTTCCTCTGAAAACTGCCTGTTTGTATCCTTTGACCATTTATCAGTTAGGGAATGGCTCTTATTTTTATAAATTTGGCTGAGTTCTTTATATATTTGAGAGATGAAACCTTTATCAGAGAAACTTGCTGTAAGTTCAGCCCTCTCTTCCACTTTCCTGCTTTTCTTTTAATTTTGGTTGCACTGGGCTTTGTTTATGCAAAAACTTTTTAATTTTATGTAATCAAAATTATCTATTTTATTCTGTGAATTTCTCTCACTTATT